AAGCACCCTCCTTCCAATAAGCACCCTTCCTTTTAGTCACATTTTAAATGAGCCACCAAGGGCTTATTCAAGGAAATACAGTATCTAAACTTTGCATAATTCAGACAGTCATTGAAAAGGGGGCTGTCTCAAAAAGTCAAAAGATCACTTATTGATGGTAAGATTGTTTCTCTTGTCTTGATGACAAGGGCATTGGTGATGCAGTTACCCCTCATTAGCGGATTGATTATTTTTCACACAGGGTATTGTTCCATAGTTCACAATGATAGTAATGGTAATTTGTGTAGCCATACACTGTGTTACTCTGAGAGTCTAAACAGCATTCATTTCATGACCCTAACACCAAGATTTTTTTACAAAAAATTTGAATGGATTGAAGCTGACTGAAGCCCTTACAGTGAATCTGGCCCTCCACACAGGAGCATTTGCAGTCAGCTTCAGCTTGTCTTCTGGCTGCCGAGGGTTTTCTGTACTCCACAACTAAGTAGAAGAAAAAATTAAACGTACAAATGTGAAGAACTTTCTTAAAGATTTTCTGGAAATATGCTAAAGTGTTTTGAGTATGTTTAAAATACCAAAAGGAATTCCCTTTACAGATGAAAAAACTTAAGATAAAAATTTTCTAGTGTTGCTGAACACCAAAAAGGTATAATTATAAATTTATCACTAGTCAAAAACAAGATGGGATGGTTGACCCTTAACTCCCTAACATCAGTATGCACATTCTGGAAATTGTCCTCTGTACATTTCCCACATGGTACTGATAGGGACATTTCATCCAAAAATCAAGAGCTGACCTCGATATTTGATTAAGAAGTAATGCAGTAGGGAGAAATTAGACCCTTGTCACTCTTTGGTGTTTAAGGGTTGATGACAGTGAAGAATTACATGGACTGCAAAAATTTATGCTTCAGTTTTCTGGTGGAACTAAAACTGACAATGCTCTTTTACACAACTTTAAGACTAACCTTGACAGTAGAGTCTTTACTGCATGTTGCGAGCATTGTTCCACTTGAGCGAGACCAATCCAATCCATAAATCTGAGAAAGATGGGCTGTGACGTACACCACAGGGGTATTACCTTTCTATAATCAAATGATGCAACCAATAATTACTGTACTTCCAAAGGGCATTTCGTTGCTGAATATCATTAACAATAACAACACTGTATGTAAATGCTTTTGCATAAGTTCCCATTCTAGCATTCCTGCACATTAGGTTCCAGTTTCTCTCAGAACAGGAGTCACATGTCACTAGCCAGTCATGTGTTTTTAGTATTCCAAACAAAGTTGAGCCCTGCATTTAGAAGTTAATTTCCCTTAGATTTTGAAACTTATTGTATGTTTTGGTCTTAATACATGAGTGATGAAAGTTTATGGAAGGTTCAACAGAGGAAATTGTAATCCAGAGTCATAGTGAAATTAAAGTTTCTGTAAACAAAAGTTCAATTCAACAGACAGTCATGTGAAACACTTCTATACCCACAGCTACACTGTATATTTACCACAATAGATAACCACACCCTCTTTAATATTACATCAATCGCACAATGTGATCAACAAGCATTTTTAGGTCAACTGATATCATCTCAGTGGCAGTTTGTCCTTTGAAAATTGAGCAAGGAAAAGACACATTAATATCAATAAAATATCAGTACCCTCAAGTCCCAGATTCTCACATCTCCTTCATGGCTGGTGGCAAGCACATGTCGATTTACTCTGTTCCATTTGACTTGAGATGCCCCAACTGACATGAAATGAAGTTAGCAAATCTCTAATAAAAAATTGTTCACTAAAAGTTAACAAATTCTTCAAGGGCATAACTCTTCCCTAAGATTTCAGCTATCTATAATCATAATTAAAGTGCTGTCAATCTTAACCAAGATATTTCCAAGATGGCACAATTATCTTGTCTATACATACCAATGGCCTGAAGTGAGCTGGCTGGCTTTTTTGCATCCCTGTAGACAGTGCAAAAGGGCAAATGTATGTAACAACTTGTTTTATGACAGTGAATGAGCTGCATGAATAAAAACAGCTCCTCGACAGTGTGTCATACATTTCTGGGTGGTTTCAACCCTTTTACCCCAAGATCTCATTGTAATTCTCCTTATTGTCTGTCATACAATTCTTATGAGGATAGTTTGGAGAATTTGGTATTGGATCAACTAATAATCCCCTAATTGATATTTATCTCTACTCTCACCACTCGTCTACCTGACATTGTATAGATATTGTAAGGAGAAGTTTTTTCTTGATCACCCATGGGTATAAAAAGGTCATGTCACTAAGAGAGCAGACATGAGAAGATACAGATTTTGCCAATTGTGGGTGTCAAGCAATTCTTCCCAAACTTTTTTTTAAGGTGATGATCTAACATTCTCACATGTAGTTCCATAATCACAAAAACTGCCATACCTTAAGTCCCAAATATAAATAAACTGGTCCATTGCGCAAGTGGCAAGAAGCTGAGGGTCAAACCATGACCAGTTCAAGTCACTAGAATCAAACAAATTAATAGTTCCTCAGTGTTCTCCTTTTCAGGTGGTAACTAGTAAAATTTACCCCATGTAGTATTCCTTAACACCACCAAAAATTGCTTGAAATTTTTAAAATTCAATCGCTAAAAGGATTGCTCAACTGGTGAGTCACTTTTGTAACTTCCTTCCTTCTTTTCAAAATAAAAGTTTAACAACAACAAGAAATAAACTTTCTCATAAATGAAAAAGTGAACACATTCAATCAAACAGCTTTTTGAATGGAAATAATGTCCACAAACAAAAATATACTGTGACAGATGAGTGAAGATGCAGTTTCTAGCCTGACTGAACTCTGTATTGAAAGATTCAGGTATAAAGCCTTAACATAAGTATACACATTCTCCGTACTTTTCATTGCACATTTCTTGTGATATTAATAAGGAGAACTTTTCAAACAATTAAGAGCTTCTATAGCTTGTGATCATTTCCTTCATTCTCATAACCATGATGTTTGATTCAGAGGTGAGAAAGACTGTAAGGAGAAATTAATTGGAAGTAACTCTAAGGGGTTTAAGAGTAAAGCTCTAGCCTGGTCACTCTCATTGTGCCTGTTTCCTCATGAGGGAAAAGTTAACTTCAGCAATTTCTTGGAAAAACCATGAAAAGGCTAAGGGTGTAAACTGCACTAGAATAGCATCCTATCCAGTGACTGCTACAGAATCTATGGCGCAGTCTGGGGATGTGGGTCACTTACAGGCACAGACCCAGAAAATTTCTAATAAGGGAGGGGGGGGGGGAGTCAAAATTTTGATTCAGAAAGCACTAAAACTGTTTTTGTATCCCATTTTCATTGCCTTATATCTTTTCTAACAAAACCAAATATCAATACCATTAATAAGTTTGGAAAAAAGAACAAATGTAAAGAGAAAAGAAAGTAGTTACCTTATTGATCTTGTGTGGCCCCTAAGAATGTGTTGTTGTAAGTCATTACCATCTCTCCAGGACCAAATTTCTAGTTTTTGGTTGGACTGCAATACAACAATAAGGAAGGCAGAAGGTCACTTAATCTCTTAAGATTTACTAAATAAAATGAACTGCTGTATGAATACAATACAGAAAATTCAGATATGCAGGTAATAGTAAGAATTTTACACCATTAGTAATAATGATAATAACAGTAATAGCAATAGTACAATGCAATAACACAGATATATTTATGGTCAAAATTATACAAAAAATAGAACACTCACTGTATAAGCAAATATATGAGCATGTGTCAAATGAGGATTCCATTCCACAGCACCACATTCCCATTTGCTGTTCCTTGACACCTTTTTTGTTACTGTATGAGGAGCATTCAGGTCAATAAATGCTAAACCTTTCCGTCTGTGGGAAAACCATATCAGATACAATTGAAAATTATTTTTAAAACAAATGCCCTTTCTTTTCTCTTTTAACCCTTTTCCCTATCCAAATTTCCCTTTTTCTCTTTCTGATTTTCACTTTTCTGAGACTAATTATGTTCACTTGTAACTTGATAATTTAATTTAGAGCAAACTCTAGGAAAGCTTCATGACAACCCTATGAATGTGGGATAACCTACTCAGCAGCAGGGTTTGTATCAAGAGGGGCCATGCACAAATTAAAACATAATAAATGATTGTTGAAAGACTTTTCCTGTGATTTCAAATTTTGACAATCATGCATAATGCTTGTGAATAATGTTCATTCTTGATGTATTTTGAATTAAATTCATTTTACTCATTTTACCTTTGCAATGTTAAAACAAGATTGCCAATTTAGAGAGCGTTAAAATGTTCAGGTGCATTCAAAGCATTGGTATAATCACAAACGGTACGAAACGCGCAAAACACAAATACGCCACTAGCCGCAAAGACGGGCCTGAAAATATCACCATGGAAAAAGTTACTTACGATCCTAAAACAGTAAACTGGCCCGTGCAATCCACAGCCATTACTGTAGCCTGGAAGGATAAATGTTCCCTGGTAAGTAAACCACGGGAGTATTTTACAAAAGTTTAATTTACGGCTCACTCGCACAGGTATGAACTACCGGAAGTACACTATTCCAAGTTTGGAAAATTTGAGATACTTAGAGGAAGGAGATTTTTATCGGGTGACCGGGTGAATCAACATGAAAATTCATATTTATTAGCTGTCCGCCTGCCTGGGCGGATTAAGTAGGGGGCGAGTACAGCATAACAAATCATTGCAGTCGTCTGCCCTCAGCAATCGTATAAACCAACTGATTGATTGATGTGCAAGATGGACCAACGGGATCAACTTGCATGCACTTACTCCACATAACAATTACTATTTCTACCATGCAGGAGGTATGTAGTGATATTATTTCCCATAAAAAGAAACTCACGGGCCAGTCTTTGTATGCTGCCACAAAATCTTGGTAGACCGCCATCTTGGATTGACTCACGTGAGACTCCACTGATCAATGTTGTGATAGTGCAGGCTCGGTACTACGCAAACGATTGACGGCGGGCGACGTTCGGCGACGACCCCCAAAGATATTCGGGAAGAATTCGTAGGTGGAATTTGAGGTACCAGAATTTTGGAGCGAAAGAAACTGGTCTCAGAAAAGAAACGATGATTCTACAACGTCTAGAAAAGGAAAAGAGAAAGATTCAAGAGGCGAGTAGTTACGAAAATAAATTTATTTTCTTACTTAAAGTATTCTTTCACAAAAAAACGAGAACAGATCAAGTGAAGTATAATTATATTTTCAAGAAACGAAAAAGACTGATACTTTTCAAGGACGATCTTAGCATTCAGCAACGGTTTGAAACTGTCGAGATCAATATCAGTAATTAACGTTCCCAATAAAAAAATCATAGGCAGTTGATAAACAATAAGCTCTTTTAATTGGCTGAAAAAATGTTTATTGACAACCGCCATATCATTATTAACCACTGAAACAATATTCTTTGTCTCTTTCAAATCTGCTCTTTAGCATGTCGCTTAATACCTCTCTTTTCGTTCCTTTGAGGGGAAGGTACAGTAGTTTATATATGAAAATATAAACTAGTGGATGTTGTGTGACAAACACCAAATTTTAAGAGCTAATCTTACAAGAAATGTATTGCAGACTGTGAGAATGAATATTTTGATCTTGAGGGGGAAGGTTAACCCTTGAATGCTTAAGAGTGACTCACATCTTGTTTCTCCTTACATAATCATTGCTGAATTGCACATTAAGGTCACAAGAATAAAGGAATTGATCCACATTTAAAGAAGCTCTTGATTGTAAAACAAATTCTCCTAGTCAGTTCCACAGGAGATGTTCAGAACAGTGTGGAGAATATGCATAATAAAGTTAGGTTGTAAAGGTTAAAAAAAGAGAAACTTTCTTTTCTTGTCTCCATCTGTCATGGTTCATTATTTATGCTAATTGTATGCATGCTGTCTGCTAAACAAGGAACTCTATATTTATTCATTTTTATTTTTAAAGCAATATTGGCTAACCCATACCATAAAGTATCACTTGTTTCAAATACAGGAGCAAAAGTTTCTGGTTTTTTTGGTTTAAGAGAAGACACACGAACAATATTGGAAACAATTGTTTCCTTTTTTCTTCCAGAGATGACAAACTAAAACTTTGGCACAACTCTTGTTGTAACTTTAGGATTGTAAATATTATTGTTTTAAGAGGAAGTGTGTCTCATGTGAAAGGATGTCAAGGTTCATTCTAATCAAAACTTCAAACTTATATCGCACTGAAGAGTAGTTATTTTCACATATAGCTTAATAACTTAACAGATATAGTTAAGTGTTACTAAAACCTGTAATAGTTTTTCTTGGATTGAAATAACATTGCGTATTTGGGGTAAAGCACACAGTTTGTTTGCATTCACATTTGTCTCAGTGCTTTGTTTGAAAACATTCTTTAGGTGAGTAAATTCATGCTTTGTTTGAGATAATTGAAAGTTTGAATTCCTTAAATTCCTTGTCTGTCTATTGAATTGGATAATTGACATGTATATTGTTGATAACCTTTTTTGCCCCTGAGGGCAATTAAAAGCATGCTGACATTTCAGCAAACTTGTTTAACATATTTTGAGATTTAAGAGCAATGCTTTCAAATCTGAATGACACACTGTCGCTCTGTTTGTGCCTTAAATAATCACTTGTCTCTTGAAGAGTGTTTTTCAACAGTTTAGCTTTCAAATCTGGCCAAGAATTACAAGAATGTTCTTCATCTAGTGATAAGTTTCTGTTTGAATGCGATAATCCTTTAGAAAAGAATGCTTGTGGTATGTTTTACCAATTATGTCCTCACCCTCACAATCAACCCTTGTATGTTTGGTTAACTGAGTAGAGTATTTATAAATTACACAGCATCAACAGAAAATTCCACCATACCCACTATCATTAAATTTGTTGGTCTGATTTTTTCCTTGTTGTGGTTTCAAACAGTTTGCAAAAATGATCAGTTTTTTATTTCTTATGACCTGCCTAAATTCCATTTTACATTGGCCTTTAAAATGGAAAGATATGTCACTGTATATGCTATTGGAGATGGCACTCAATGTGCCTTGAAGTAAAACCAATGAGTGTTTAGATTAATTTTAATCTCATCAGCTGTGTCCAATTTCTCAAAAAGAGGTTAAATCAGGGTCACTGTGTTCAAGTCTTGTCTGCATGCTTCTGTCTCATGGTCCAAATTGAAATCACAAATTCTGTATTCTTTTCATAAACTTCAAAATGGAACACAACAACTCCAACTGCCAATTTTCAGGTAACATCACTATAAAGAGTATCATTGTATAAATTGTTTCTGAATGGTGTTCACTGATGGATACACAATGAGTCTTTAATCAGATCAGCGTGAACTACTGAGGAGTATTTTTTCCTCACGGTTTTCTTCTGGCTTCAGATTTCTGTGAGCAGTAAAAACTCATACCACTCCCTCCAGTGTTATGTGATTAACAAAATTATCTCCTACCAGATAGAACACAATACTACCGTCACATTGTTCTTATACTTTTACAACTAGAGGTGAAATATTTGCACCTTCTGAAATGCCATAATTCAAATTTCTTATTGTGTATGTGTGTACTAAATTTGAGATTTATGGAGGTTTCATGAGTTTGTTCCATGCACAAAGAGTCTTTGTCAGGTTTGAGAAAGGAAGAGCATCACTCTTTGATGTTCTTTCAATGATGTGTTGCCAACATGAAGTATTTTAGAGTTGCAAACACTAACATGTTAAAGCGGCTGGTGCTGGTTAACGGTTTTCCGGGATCCCAAATTGGGCAATGTTCTTTTACGCACTATTTTTTACAAAAATTCAGGATGCCTTATTCCTTCAAAATAAAGCATAGTATTTCTGACTGAAAAAAGGTCATTTTTTGATACCCCATTCCATTTATTTCAGTAAATTTTAATAATGTTATCAAATTCATTTCTGCAAGAACCCTATGATAGCTTATGGCATACAACACAGGGTGTAACAGATTGCTTTTTAACACATTTTTTTTTGAGCAAATTCTCCATGAATTATTTCAAATCTGTCAAAAATTCAAAGCTTTCACACCTTCCAACATGCATTTTACTCTGAATCATTTTATGAGATTTCCCTTAACCCTTTACACCCTAACATCAGTATGCAAGTTCTCCATGTACTGTTCTCTATAAATTTTCTGTGGTACTTGCAAGGAGAATTTGTCTAACAATCAAGAGAATCTTGAGCTTGTGATCATTTCCTTTATTCCCATGACCACAATTTTTGATTCAAGAATGATGCACCATTCAAACAAATGTGGCCAGGCGGATAACAAATTTAAAAAAGTAATTTTTTTTTCTTTACAGGTGTGTGTCACAATTGTAAGCAGCAAATAAATGGCTGTGAATCAGCTTGTCTTGCCATGGAACATCTATACCATGTTCATTGTTTCCTTTGTTGCTTTTGTGGTAAGATGATTCTTCAATTGCCTTATTATTACCATGGAGGAATTTTGTGGTTCAGAAATTTTCAATTTTAGCTATGATTTGCATCCAGATTTGACATAAAGCAAACACAGCCCTTCCCAAGAATGTATTAGAAAATGCATTTTCAAATTCACCACACCTCAAAACAAAATTCCTTCCCCCATTTAATGAGGTAGAGTTGAAGCAGGGGTATAAGGTTCAAAACTGGTGGTAAGTTAAAAAAAAATTAATCAATTTAGAATACTAGAGAAGGGTTTTCTCGTTGTATTGTTTGACATCAAAGCCTGTCAGAAGCAGTTTCATTCTCCATCTGATTGACATCCACCTCTGGAACCATCTGTGTTTTTGTTCCCTACTGAATCAGGCGTTATTAACAGTTGCTTTGGTTTTGAACTAATCTTTCACACTTCCTTCTCTCAGGAAACCAGTTGATTGGTCAAATATTTTATAATGTTAATGGAAAGATTTACTGTGAACAGGATTATAAGGTTTGTAACATTAATTCATGTCTCCCTGCCTGAATTAACCCATTACACCCTAACATCAGTATAAATTTTCTCTCCACTGTTCTCTGTACATTTCCTATGGTTTTGACAAAAAGAATTTGTTTTAACAATCAAGAGCTTCTTAAGTTGGTGATCATTCCTTCATTCTCATGACCTTAAAGTTTGTTTTAGAGGAGATACAGATAAGAGAAAATAGTTACTATTTTAGGGGTTAAAGGGTTAACTGCAATTGGGCTATTATAACAAACTGGACTTTTTCAAAAATAAGGCTATTAACCCTTTAACCCTAAGAGTGACTAGCATTTAATTTCTTCTTACAATATCACCACTGAATCACACATTAATGTCATGAGAATAATGGAAATGATCACCAACTAAAGAAACTCCTGATTGTTAGACAAATTCTCCTTGTCAGCACCTTGTAAATGTACAGAGAACAGTATGGAGAATATGAATGCTGATGTTAGGGTGTAAATGGTTAACAATAAAATTGATAAGTAAATGGAAAGACTCATTAACCTTTTATACTCTAACAAGGGTATCCCCTTTCTCTGTTCTGTTCTTTATACATTCCCTATGGTGCTGACCTAGAGAATTTGTTCACCTATCAAGAGCTTGTCATTAAATCATTTCTTTTATTCTCCTGACCCTGATGTTTGACCCAGCAGTGATACTGTAAGAAGAATTTTTTCAATTACCTTTACATTCCAAATTTCATGAGAAATCATTCAAATTACTTTCCTCGATGTCAGTTTTCTGCACTGTTTGAGATTAACTGACATACTCTTGGGCAAGCTGAAATCTTCACTTGTTATCATAAAGAAAATGTATTTAAAAGCACTCAGAAATACTTAGAAGACAGATGTCACCAGTCATTTTTTTATTTTTCAGAATCTTGGTTTTTCTCCTAACTACTGTGATATTTGTGGAAAAATAATTGAGCTAAAGGTAAGTTACCACAGACTTTATCTGTTGGGATAGTGATTTATCTACCCTTTATAAAACTAGGCCCTGGAGACTGGTCATAAGCTTATGGCAGTTATTGTGTTACTGACAAGTTGCCATTTTACATTCCAGATAGTCTTGTCACAGTACTCAATAAATCATAAGGCTCAATTTATTTTTTGGTGTTGACTGTGGCTTTCAATTGCCATTTATTTTTTTAGCAAAATGGGACAAAGGCTCAAAATGTTTGGCAACGATAAAATTGTAATTTGACAAAAAAATTGAAAGCTTTCAAAATAATGGACAAAAACTAATAATTAGGGAAAGATGTTTTTCATCTTGTCACAAGAATGAGACAAAGAAAAATTCTGAGGAATTCATGGGGTCTCAGGATTTTTTCTCTGTCCTAGGCTTGTGAAGTTTAAGTCGAGTTTTGATACAACTTCAAATTTTAATAGTGTTTAAAATATATACCAGAAAATTTGGAAAGGAAATCTAACACTCTATCAGAGGTCAGTCAAGTCCTCTCTGCAGACAACATTTCAAGTTTTTAACTGTTTTTGTATTTGCAACCATGTAGATCATCCAAGCACTGGGCAGGTCATATCACCCATCATGCTTTAGATGTTCTGTCTGTCAAACAGAATTAGATGGAATTCCCTTTACAGGGGATCAAGAAAATAGAATATATTGCATTCCTGATTATCACAGGTAACAGCAGAGATTTCTTGTAAAGATAAATACCTCAAAGTTTCCAATAACTTGATGTATTTAAAGAAAGTTGTTGAAAATTTTTCTTCAACATGAGAGAAATCCCTGTGAGGACTCAACATTACCGTAGTTATTACAAATTAAAAGTATAAAGGTTTTTGTTTTAATGAGTTGTTTGACCACAGATGTTCCAATTTTCTTTCTTTCTCTTTTGACAGAAAATTCTCACCAACCTGTGCAGTTTGCAAAAAACTAATTGCACCAACAAAGGTTAGTTACCAGGATGCATCAGCATAGGGTATTCAAATAAATTTACTGTTTAAATGAAGTTGTGTCCATAACTGTAGATCATTACTAGACTATTTTTCTTGTTGCAGGGATCAAAGGAGATCCTGAGAGTGGTTTCAATGGAGAAAGATTTTCACGTTGATTGCTTTAGATGTGAGGTAATTCAGTAAGGAAGGAATTTAACGGTGTTGTGAAAGTTTTTGAGATTTCTGATTCATTTATAAAATATAAAGAGTTGCAATTAGATTTATCTTGTGGTCATCTACCCTAGGAAAAATTGAATAAAAAAAAAAAAAAAGATCCACTTTTGAAAGACCATTACCTCAACCTCACTAATCCTAAGCCAAGCTACTTTTATGCACAAGTTTTATAATAATTTGCATTTAGAAGCACAACCCATAAACTCTCAAGATCTGATTGTTAATTCTCCCATCTAGCAGCTACACATTTCCATTTAAATTAGTTAGGTGACAGTGGTGTTAGACCAAGATGACAACTTCTACCTTATAACTTTGAGTATTCTCATTACTTGTTTGTTGGATATTGTATGGATCTCATAGGGAGAATTTGCATGTTAATCACTTCTGGGGGTCAAAGAGTTATGACGATTCAATAATTACCATGTTGTTAGTATGGCTTTTAAGTAATGGCTTCAATTTAGTTTTTTTGTGAAGGGTTGATGTGCAAAAAACAATCAGTGGTATAACAAATTTAATTATATTACCAGTGTATTAATTTATATCTTTTCAGGATTGTGGGATTCAGCTTTCAAATAAGAGACCATGCTATCCACAAGATGACCACATCCTCTGTCGAAAGTGCAATGGTAAAAGAACGCCAATTTCAAGATCACTGCAGGTCACCCCAGTTAATTCACCTTGTGACTCACCAAATGTAACACCTCGATGTCTACCACGTGGCAGACCACGTATTTTACGCAGCAAGCGAGAATAATATTGTAGTTAGATTATCCAATTACGGCATATTTATCCGGCATTTATTATTATGGTGTCACTTACACTGTATCACGATAAAGATCAGGCATTTGCTATTTGGAAAGTGGCTAATGTTATCGTGATATATTTGAAAGGAATAGGGTTTCTTTATTAAGGAGTTAAAAAAGGACTATCTATTAATATCACTTATTATTATTGAATATATAAATATAAGTTTTTGAAAAAATAAATAAACACATGCCTGGAGTAACAATGGGCTTTCAGTTCTGACTGATTGTTTTGTTAGATAAGGGTTGTTTGGTAAGAAATCTGCCTGGATGTTCCTAATTTTCTTTGTAAAATTTTGTTTATAAAGTGAATGATTAGTCTATTATGATAATTAGACCTTGGGTTTTTATAATCAATAGTAATTTTTTTTGTAATTGAGATTAACTATTGATTATTAAAAAATTTTTGTTTGTAGAGACTCAGTACACTCAGTACACTTTGGCTTTCCCCTTTTCCTCTTAACCCCTTTAACCCAAGTATCTCATTAATAATTCTCCCTACTGTCTGCCAAACAATTCTTCTGATGTTAGTTCAGAGAATTTGGTATCAGATCAACTACCAGTAATAATCCCTTCACTGATATATTTCTTTATTCTCCTCACTTGTCTGCTTGATATTGTATTGATATTGTAAGGAGAAATTCTTTTGTGGTCATTCATGGGAGTTAAAGGGTTAAGACAATCTCTGTCATATGCTAGGCTGAATTGATTACTGAATGTGTTTGCTGCAATAACAAATTCTCAGTACTTGCTTACAAACAAATGTAAGCAAGGAGAATATATCTCCAGATCTTGAGAGTGAAGGGTTGGTGTCAAGAACTGAATAAGAAGGAATCAAGAAAATGCTTGACAAGTTATTTTAATAAGAGCCAACAAGCTGTGCCTACAAGATTAATAAAGCATTCCTGTCAAGTATCAATTCTAAGCATGCACACAAGTTTAAACAAACACGGGAGGACATTTTTATGATTTTGTCATTTGATTGTAAATACCATTGTTCATTTCGGTTTCCTTTTAGATTTTAATTTAATTAACCAATTGAAGTTAAACAGATGATGACACTTTCACAGGAAAAGGAAGGATTCTGGTAATCGTCAAATGATGCCATTGTGAAAATGTGCTTTCTATAAAAATTAAGTTATTTTGATTGTCATAGGTTCCACAAATGATATTAAGTTGTAATAGAGTACAGATATCACAATTTTTTCACCCTTTACACCCTAACATCAGTATTCATATTCTCCATACTGTTATCTGTACATTTCCTGAGTGCTGACAAGGAGGATTGGTTTAACAATCAAGAGCTTCCTTAGTTGGTGATCATTTCCTTTGATTTCACTCCCTCCATGTGTAATTCAGGGGTGATATTGTGAGGAAAATTTAGATGCAAGTCACTCTGAGGAGTTGAAGAATCCAGTAATGTTTCAAAATCTAATAGACGTCAATTAATCTTTTCCCTATTACAATGTCACTGATGAACAAGTTTGTGCAACCATGTTAATTTCCAACATCACCTGGTTATTGGAACATTTTTAAACACAATTGGCTTGGGTCTGGTCTTGAAGATGATTTTCTTCCTTACTAGAGCACACACATCATAGTGTATTTCACCTTCCTTATTGTCTTCATCCTCATTGTTCGTCTTCTTGTAAAGCACAGCATATGGTTTTTCTAATTCAACAACCTTACCAGTGAGAAGATGGTGACCAATGATAAGCATGGGTGTTCCCTAAAAGGTCAGTAAGAGGATGTCATGAATCCTTTACTTCCCATCTCTGCTCAAACAAGTGCTCCCCTTCTGTAGCCAACCCACTGGTAATTTTTTTTAAATCCTTTTAACTCCAAAGATCTAATTATTAGTTCTCTCATCTAACTGCTAGACATTTCCTTGTAAACGAGAATTTAGTGTTAGATCAAGACACTTCTACCTGATAAGTTTGATTATTCTCAGCACCTGTTTGTTGGATAATGTATGTATATTATAGGGAGAGGTTACAAGTTAATCACTTCGGGACGTTAAAGGGTTAAATGTGACAGCTTCCTCAAAATGTGAGTTTGAATATTCCGTTATCACAGGTTTCTAAAACAGAAACAAATATATTCACTGAAGCTAATGATCTAAAGCGAGAATAATTTAATTGAAAAGGATGCAGAATTTCATGCAGTCACAAAAAAAGGTATTGAGAAGCCACGCAAATTTTGATGATTTCACGTTGTTATTTTGCAGAATGCAGGTACTGAGCTACTTTTCTGCTCATTGGATCTTTTATTTTGCCACATCCTCGTTGCCGTCGCCGCCATGTTTTGCTAAAGGTCCCTAATAAATGACCGTCCCCTTAGCTGTAGAGGGGAAATCAGTGCAATCATTTTACTACGCTTTCATCCACATAATGTATCGTTTACCCTTCCCAAAAAAAACCGAACACTTACTTTAAAATTCTTAGCAAACTTCCTTGGGCAAAAAAGAAAAGCTAAGTGCAGGATTGCAAGTCAAAACATAAAATGAAGGCCGTTGGTAAATTAATGCATGAACGAACGAACACCACATCAAATCACGATCCACCGACCTTTCCATCGAAATGTAAGTCACCGATGGCTTTCCCTTCTAAACTGACTTCTTCTTTTGCCTCTAACGTTCCTTGAAGTTCGATTATCGTCCAGTTATCCACATCATGGGACCTGTATGAAGCATGTTCAGTCAGTTGCGGTTCAATGCAGACAAAAAGAATGCTCAATCTACAACTGTTTACAACATGAACTCCGACCATCGTTGCAAATACAAATTCGTTACTAAGAAAACCCTATGATCGACGGAGGAAATACACAGCTCTTACATAGATATCAATATTTGGACCATCCTTGGTCTATTTGTGGCACAATCTCGCACAAACGTTTCACTCTTATGGTCGTTCCAACATGGTAAACTTGGATATTCGAAAGGATTTCGGGAAGATGTACATTTCCCGCGAAAATTGACGATGTAGCCTTATTTGAGTTACCGCTGACTAGGTCCTTGGTGACCTGCGGTAACGAATTAATTCCCAATCTTTGAAAGTTTTCTTGATAAGAAAAAGAGAAAAACAATCTTCTTTTCCTCGGTAAAATTAATTCAGATTATCTGATGATGCCGGGTCAACGTTTTCGTGGACAATTTCCAAAATAACTTCGCGCCAGTCGTTTACGATAAACATGTCGCCTTCGTAGAGTGGAGTTGATCCCCTTCTGATGAAAACCTTTCAGATTTGTTTCGAAGCAGGGTGCTCCACCGATTTAGTAATTAACTGGATAATGCTTAACAGTCACGAGGAAGAAGAGATCGTCTTGACGGACCATTCATTCGCGATGTGTTTGCAGTCATGTGTTTGCGGTCATTTAAAGGTGAAACCAAACCTTTTCGGAGGAGAATGCCGTGAACCCCGCCCAATTCTCCCTCCCCTACTAGTTAGCTCGCGAGTTCTTTTCAACCCCCTCCCCCTGCTTCTCCTCTTAAAAACTTCCTATCGAGGCCCCATTATACGGCTTATCCTTCTCAGACCTTTTCTTATTAGTGACGTATTCCTACTCTTACTACTTGATGGGAAAAAAACCTATAATTCATGGGCAGACTTTCTGACTGCAAGCGTTTAATTTATGCGCTTTTATATCTAGAGTGTTTTCAAATGTACTAAGTAAATTGACCATGATACGGAGAACTCTCCAATTCCAATTACTACAGCAGTATGGTACATTTTCCGACGAGTGCTTTGATTGATTGCACAGCGCAGCCACTTCCGCCTAGCACTAAAGAATGGGATTTTAAAAGAAATTCAAATAATCGAGGCAGGCGAACAACGAGATTATTCAAGTACCCGAAAAACATCGAAACAAATTTTTGTTTTTCACTGTTTTTTGATTATGCCCGACTATAAATATTCTACTAGTTCTTAATATCGATGAGTTGGGCGATTGTCCTAATCATTTATCGCCTGGCCGTAAACAGTCGAGATTAGATGAATCTATCGCCTATCTAGTGTCGCGATGATTTCCTAACAGATAAAAACATTTCAGATCTATTTTGATAACACTAAGTGCAGTTGCAATATTTACTCAGTTCTTACGTCAAACGGTGCTAAAATCCATTCTAAGTGTATTTTAGATTCTTAAAGTTTTAAAAACAAAAGTCAATATTGCTATCAAAATCAACGCACTAAGTTCTTGATGTTTTAAAAAAAAGTTCACGCTTTTATTTATTAGTTAGCAGGTTGAAACCTAACTATTACTTTGGAGTGGTTAGAAATAAAACAAAGCGCATGTTAACCTAACTGTTAGTGTGTTCTCACTTTTCGCATCACCTGCTCAAGCATTTTTAAAACAGCACAAAACTGTTGTTATTGAAATCGCTAAATTGTAATCTGAAAATTTCATAGTTCGTCGAAAAACGCACTGCCACAGCGTGTGGTTGACAAGTACTTAATACTACAAGCTTTGTTTGGAATTCAATTAAACAAACTTCGGTTGTTTACATGTAATACGGGTCGTTTGCCGATGTAATGCCGAAAAAGGAAAGCTTTCAGGGCCACATCAAAGGATGTGAGGACCACTTAAAAATCTTAAGGGAGATTTCATAGGGTCTAGAGCTTCAACCTACAAATCTGCTATTGTCAAGGTTTGAAACTCGAAACAGCTGTCCGCGAAGTGATAGTGCTTTACCATTGGTTTTCGATTACCTTCGAAATTAATTGACATTCGTTGAACAACCAATCAAGCTTAACAATAACCTTGGCGCTTTTCCCTGGGTCGACGACAAATAGATAATTTCATATGTAAACTTTCTCAAGACGCTTTGACTGGAACATTTATTGTTTACATGGGCTGAAATAATCGGCCGGCAAGATTAGTGAGAAGGAACAAGGAGACCCGCGTGTGCACGCAGCGATTAGCAGCAGTCTTCATCTTATCGCCTGTATCTACTCATTTGTACACAAAATGAAAGTGTTTAAAACCACGCGTTGGATCAGATACATACATCGGAGATGATTCATTCGCTGAAATGCGCGTAATTCAATTGGAAGACTTGGAAATCACAGTAAACTTTACATCAGAGGCGCAATCCCCGCGGCAACAGCGAGCAAACTGTTATTAAGATTTCATGAAGAACACTTTTTTAGTCGAGCTTGCGGCTGGACTAATATTTTTCGTTCACGCGTGAATCCCGTTGTCTGAGGAAACTATGAGACGTAAAAGGATTTCACCATGTGTGCGTTTCCCGAAAAGTTGCCATATATTGGTAGGATTTATTTGTTTTACCTTCTTCGTCCAGAATTCAACATCGCTTGAAACTGTTGAGATATTCGAGGGTTTGCCGCCCGGCAGTGCAGTTTTAAAGTTGAAACGGAAACCAGGCATCGTTTACTCTCTTCATCGAGATTCCTCCACCG